CATCATTATTATAATCTGTTTGAAATTCATTTTTTAAGTGCTAAAAATGCCTATATTTGCTATTAAGCATTTCATAGCAGCAAAATAAGGCATCCTGGGGTGAACTATATGAGTAGAGTTCTTGAAGACAATAGTTCTCCCCTCTCCCCCAAGTGTTAACAAAAAGCTTCCAGCTGCTTTCCTTCTTATTTAACTGCAGGGCAAAACAGTAGATAATAATGCTTTTTAAAAAACTATTGCATTATGTGGACTCAAGTCTGCACAACCTACAACAACTTTATGTAGATTTTCATACATTTGCAAGGTTGCTCACCATATGGCATAAGACGAAGTGGTTGTGTTGAATGATCCGTAAAAATATTTATATTAAATTTAGTATTAGAAAAGAGCTCATATGGAAATGCTGTAGTAATGCTCCAGATCGTCCCAGAGTTAGAACTGGTGTCAGCTGCAAAATATGTTTCTCTTATTCTGAAAAATAGATATTAGAAAAATATTTAAGACAAGCTCTGCAAGATAAAATTTTTAAAATATTTCCCACAATAGAATTTTGAGAAACCTCATGCAGTGTTTTCTATAAAAGATTTTAAATGTGAACATAATCAAAAGTTGATCTATGGTATGTTGCCCTGCCATATTGGCAGACATTACAATTATATTAGGAACAAGCATAAAGGACTATACTTTCAGCTTGCTCAGGCTCATCTCAAAGCAAAGATGACAATTGATCTCTATTTGTCTGGTGCAATAAAGGAGGAAGAAGAGTCAGGAATCGGAGAAGGAAATGGAATGTGCTGCAAATTGCCTGCATGAGCAATTGCCTATTCCCAGTTACCAGTACTGAACATTTTTGATTAAACAATTTCTAGAAGGATCCTGATCAAAAGGTGGGTAAATGCAAAATAGAATTTCAGATTTTCATGTGCTGCAGACATTCTGGCAACATGGAGGCTGGATGAAACCCTGAAACTATTGCTCTGAGCTAATGCTTAAACCTTAAACCAGACATATCCCCTTAAATCTTAAAACCAAACACCAATTTATTTTAACTAGCTCTCAGTGTGTCCTCTTAAACATTATGCTCTTTCAAAAACTATCTACAATTAATCCTCATTTATTGACTTGCTTAGTTTCCCCAAACCAGGTTGTTATGAGAAAATTGCCATTATGGAAAAATGAAGGATGGGGCAGTCAGATCACAAAATAAAGGTTGTGGTTACTAATCTGGCTGCTAACCTCAGGGTCAGATAATCTTAACCATCATCGCCAGGGTTACTCTTGTCTTGCACCTTGGCATTTTATGTTGTTGTTGTTAAGTGCTGTCGAATTGGTTCTGACCCATAGCGACCCTGCATAGGGTTTCCAAGGAGTGACTGGTGAGCTTGAACCGCCAATCTTGCAGTTCAAAAGGCTTTGCAGTCTGGTTCATTAACCCACAAAGCTACACCAGAACCCCACTACGCCACACCAGAACTTCACTACCAGATATATGTTGTTAATATGCAAAATATTTGGATAGTAGATATTTTTTTAAGTTTTTGTAAATGTAAAATGTCACATAATGCGATAAATAGTCAATAAATGAGGAGTGCTGGTGTGGCGTTAATGCACTGTACTGCAATGTTGGTTTGAACCGCCACAAGGTTGGTGGTTCAAGTTCACCAGCCACTCCTTGGAAACCCTATACAGGGTAGCTATGGGTTGGAACCAACTCATCAGCACATAACAACAACAACATGTCTATATGGAATCAAAGTGACAACAACAACTACAAAATTTCGATAGAAACCTTAGCGAGCATTGAGTGTGTGTTATCGGAGGAGGAACAACTCATAAAAGGAGATTGAGAATTGTTGCACAATTGGAAGTGTACAATCAATGTCATTGAATTATACATGTGTTGTTGTTGTGTGCCGTGGAGTCAGTTCCAACTCATAGCGACCCTGTACAGGGTTTCCATGGCTCTAAATCTTTACGGGAGCAGAAAGCCTCATCTTTCTCCTGAGGAACAGCTGGTAGTTTCGAACTGCTGACCTTGTGGTTCGCAGCCCAATTCATAACCACCACGCTACCAGAACTCGTAGAAACCGTTTAATTGGTATTTTGTCTGAGCAAAAACAACAATGAAAAGGACACATTGTCATTACATAAAACATGAAGATTCACACTGAACAATAATTGTTTCATTTGTGTTGTTTTTGATACCCATTCTCCTCTTCCTGAATTTCTCGCATGTTTAACTTTCCCAAGCTAGAAGTGATTGATGTTGATTTAGAGAGTTTGGGAAATAAATTCTCTTGTTTAACTGAATTGGTAAACACCATTTTTGATTCTCTATTTTCTTTAAATATAAATTTTTGGATTTTATTAAATAATTGAACCTATAAGTTATTTACACATTCTGAATAGTTAGTTGACTTAGCACACAAATAAGCCTAATAATAGCAAAATCATTTCTTCTTGGAGTCAGTACCATGGGGTATGATGACTGACTGCTCCTTTCAGTTTTAGGGTCAGGGTACTGACCTGACAGCACCTAAAAGCAACAATCTTTACTTCATAAGTTTATTGTAAGAATTAAAAGTAAAGGCATGTAAAATAATTTTGCAGTGTACAAAGCAATATCATAATAAAATATCATAATTATATCATAGGCTAGTATATTTCACTTGCTTGCTGAAAGTGAATAGGACTTGAAACATTTACTGATGAAGATCAAAGAGCACAGCCTTCGATATGGATTACATCTCAATGTCAAGAAAACAAAAATCCTCACCACTGGACCAATAAACAACATTCTTAACAATGGAGAAAAGATTGAAGTTGTCAAGGACTTCATTCTTCTTGGATCAACTATCAACACTCACAGAAGCAGCAGTCAAGAGATCAGACGACGTATTGCACTGGGCAAATCTGCTGCACAGGAACTTTTTAAAGTATTGAAGAACAGAGATGTCAGCTTGAGGACTAGGGTGCGCCTGACCCAGGCCATTGTGTTTTCAATAGCCTCATATGGATGCGAAAGCTGGACAGTGAATAAGGAGGATCGTCGAAGAATTGATGCCTTTGAGTTGTGGTGTTGGAGGAGAATACTGAGGGTGCCATGGACTGCCAAAAGAACCAATAGATCTGTTTTGGAAGAAGTGCAGCCAGAGTGCTTCTTGGAGGCCAGGATGGTTAAGCTTCGGCTCTCATACTTTGGACATATTGTCAGGAGGAAACAGTCACTGGAGAAGGGTGTCATGCTGGGTAAGGTGGAGGGTCAGAGAAAAAGAGGAAGACCCCTAATGAGATGGATTGGCCAGGTGGCATCATTGATGGACTCAAATGTGGCAGCGGTAGTGAGGTTGGCCCTGGATCCGGCATTGTTTTGTTCTGCTGTGCATGGGGTCGCTATGAGTTGGTTCCTACTCGATGGCACCTGACAACAACAACAACAACAGGCTAGTATAGCTAAATCCCAGGAGGTATATGTTTTATGCCCATATGCAGAATATTATAAAATTATTTTCAAGTACATACTCAAAACACTTTTGATGGCAAGTATGAAACTTATTTTATTATGTCAATTATACAGAAATTTATACTTCTTAGGGTCATTCTTAGATCGAAAATCATGTCTCTTCCACAGATGTAAACAGGAGTCCTGATGCACAGTGGGCTATGAGTTGGACTGCTAACCATATGGTCAGCAATTCAAACCCACGAACCAATCCTTGGAAGATGAGCCTTTCTGCTCCTATAAAGATTTACATCCTTAGAAACTCTACACAGGGTTGCTATGAGTCAAAACTGTCTCCATGGCACATAATCACTACCACCATACTGATATAGCCAATATATTCTTTGTAATTTTACTTGTATTGCTGTAGGATAAGCAGTAGACTGCTAACCACAAAATCAGAAGTTCAAACCCACTAGCTGCTTCTCAGAAACCCTGTATAGGGAGGCTATGAATTGGAACTGACTCCACGATAGTAAACAACAATCAACAAAGTACTTTCAGGCTTAATGAAGTAGCTTTGTCTCTACTCCCTTAAATTCTCTGAGGATGTCCACACCATAAGAAGACTTATAAATGGACAAGCACAGGTTCATCTATTTATTATTGCATGTGTCAGTATCACATTATTAAAATACAGATTGCTATGTTAGATGCTTAGATTCCTGGCGTGGCGCTGTAAGATAATGCATTGGACCACAAGGTCAGTGGTTCAAACTTATCAGCCTCTCCTCAGAAACCCTATACAGGGTCGCTGTGAGTTGGAACTGACTCAACAGTACTTAAGAACAACAACAGGTACAATGCTCAGATTTTGTGATTCAGTAGTAATGTGGAGGGACCCCCAAATTTACCTTCCTACTGAACTCCCAGAGTACTAGTGCAGTGTTGTAGGAAAAGCACTGGGCTGCTAACCACATGATCTGCAGCTCACACCATTAGCTGCTCCTCGGAAACCCTACAGGGATGCTATGTGTAGAAACTGAACAGACACTACTTAACAACAAAATTTTTTTGTTGTTGTTAGGTGCCATCCAGTCAGTACAGACTCAGCAACTCTATGCACAACAGAACAGAACACTAACCGGTCCTGGGCCAACCTCACAATTGTTGCCACACTTGAGCCCATTGATGCTGCCACTTGGCCAATTCATCTCATTGGGGGTCTTCCTCTTTTTCTCTGACCCTCCACCTTATCAAACATGATATCCTTCTCCAGCAACTGGTCCCTACTGACAATACATCCAAAGTATGAGAGACGAAGTTTGGCCATCCTAGATTCCAAGGAACACCCTGGCTGTACTTCTTCCAGCACAAATCTGTTGGTTCTTTGGGCAGCCCATGGCACTTTCAATGTTCTCCTCCAACACCATAACTCAAAAGCATCAATTCTTCTATGGTCTTCCTTATTCACTGTCCAGCTTTCTCATGGTCAGTGGTTCAAACTTATCAGCCTCCACTCATATGAGGTTATTGAAAATATCATGACGTTATTGAAAACACCGTGGCTTGGGTCAGGCGCACCTTAGTTCTCAAGCTGACATCTTTGCTCTTCAACACTTTAAAAAGGTCTTGTGCAGCAGATTTGCCTAATGCAATACATCCTTTGATTTCTTGACTGCTGCTTCCGTGAGTGTTAAGAGTTGATCCAAGAAGAATGAAGTCTCAACAACTTCAATCTTTTCTCCATTAATAAGAATGTTGTTTATTGGTCCAGTGGTGAGGATTTTTGTTTTCTTTCCATTTAGATGCAATCCATACCGAAGGCTGTGCTCTTTGATCTTCATCAGTAAATATTTGAAGTCCTCTTCACTTTCAGCAAACAAGGTTGTATCATTTGCATATTGCAGGTTGTTAAAAGAGTCTTCTTCCAATCTTCATCCATTCCTTCCTTCAAGCCATGTTTTTCTTCATATAAGCCAGCTTCTCGAATTATTTGCTCAGCATACAGGTTGAATAAGTATGGTGAAATTCAGAATATAACCCTGTCGCACACGTTTCTTAATTTTAAACCATTCATTGACCTCTTGTCTGTCAGTTTGTTGTACTGTGGTGGTTTGTGAGTTGCTCGGATTCTGGTAGCTATGCCACGGGTATTTTAAATACCAGCAGGGACACCCATGGTGGACAGGTTTCAGATGGACTTCCAGATTAAGACAGACTGGGAAGAAGGAGTGACGAACTTCTTCTGGATATTTAGTCACTGAAAACCTTATGAATAGCAGAGAAACTACAACATTTAATTCCCGTGCAATGCTGGAGCTACTCTGGAACAACAGTTTAAACCCACCGCTTGGTGTAAAATAAGGGCCATTCTTTGGTTTTAACATCAAGTTGAAAGACTTTCTTTTGTTATAGTATATAACAAAATATTTTACTTCAATTCTGCATTAAGGAATTACATAATTTAACATTCACTCCTGGTGTGGTACTGTAGAATCAGCATTGGACTGTAAACCACAGTTCAAACTCACCAGCAGCATCTTGGAAACCTTGTACAGTGTCATTATGAGTCAGAAGCAACTCAAGGGCACTCAACACCAACAACAACTTATGGTAAAATGCTATGCAAACGTGCTTTAAACCTCTACCTTACTTTAATCTTGCCCAAAGAGTAGTATAGTTGTTACGAATCAGGCTGCTAATCTCATGATCAGTAGTTTGAAACTACCAGCTGTTCCACGGGAGAAAAATGAGGCTTTCTGCTCCTGTAAAGATTTACAGCCTTGGAAACCCTGTACAAGGTCGCTATGAGTCGGAACTGACTCCAAGGCACATAACAACAACAACAACAAAGAGAAGTCTAGCCTTTATCTTTGGCTCCTGGGAAGTAACATATAAACCCTTGAATCCCCCCTGTGATATGAATGTCTTTGTTATTCATGATGGTTCCCTTGGACCACACTTGATAATTTATGCTAACAAGGTGACTAATGGTGGGCCTGCTAGAACAATGGAATATCAATCAATTAACTGTGGACATCAAAGCAATAGTGAGCTTCCTGAAATAGCAATGCTGTTAAGTGTGTTCAAGTCAGATTCAACTCAAAGGCCCTGCAAGGCGTTTCTGAGGAGTGGCTGGTAGGTTTGAACGATAGACCTTGTGATCAACAGTCCACTGCTTATCTTTGCTGTTTTTGTTATGTGTCCTGGAGTTGGTTTCAACTCTTAGTGACCCTGGATAGGATTTCCAAGGCTGTAAATCTTTGCTGGAGAAGAAAGCCTCTTTCTCCCTTGGAGTGGCTGATGGACTCTAATCAGCCTTGTGGTTTGTAGTCCCTACTTATCCTACACTGCTACAATACTGGGTTCTTATTGTTATACCTTGATGCCAGGTGGGTAAGGAATTCTGAGGACAATGGAAACTATATTTGAGATTCTCCCTGCTCTGTTCTATGCTTTTCTACCTTTGATGGATTTTGATGAATCCTTTCCCTGCAATTAACCATAATTGTGATTATATAGGCTTTCAGTAAGTTCTGTGAGTCCTAGACAATTATTGATTCAGAGGGTGGTTTGGGAATGCCTGGGACTTGCACTTATTGCCATAACTGAGGGTGGTCCTGTATTAACTCTTCCCTTTAATTTTGGAATTGGATCCATTCTTTACAGTTGTTGTAAAAAGTCTTGAGCAACAGTGTGGAAGATTATGCCCTCAAGTTTTGCATTTTTGTGAACTCAAGGTAACCATTTTGGGAAATTAAATTGAACATGGGAATTCGTGATTCATTTTCCCTGAGTCCTTTCCTGAGTGTTTAATGTCCAGGAACTTCTGTAATATTCTATGGTATTTTATCACATTTTTCACTAAAATATTATATATTTCCTGAAAGATGTTGTTTAAGGCTATATCATAACAAGAAATCAAATACCATAAGTTAGAAAATCTTAAAGTATATAAAAGGTTTATTAACAATACATTTAGGTATAATAATTCAAATATTTAGAAAATAGTAATGAGATTGGATATATAAATCCATCCTATCAAGGTTTTACAGAATATTTGGAAAGTATATGAAATAAGGCTTGTGAAATCAATTTGATCTCCTTTGAATTAAGAGCTTTGGACAATGCCTCATTCACGGTGTTGTTGTGTGGCCTCAAAAAATAATTATTGCTGAATGAATAGCATTTATGTGTATGAAAAGATTCTTGTATTTATAAAGTTAGAAATTTCATAAGGAAAAATAAGTATCTGTAAACAAAACAATTGTGGAAAACCAAGGAAATCACGTGTAAAGATAGCCTATGGCTTCCTTTTCACTCTTCTAAAGTTTATTATTGTTTCTTTCTTTGTTTTAATTCTCATGGTTGTTCAGAATGAAACCATTAGGAAAATTATATTAAAGTGTTTCAAAAATAAACAATGAGTGTCTAATAAACTATCACTTAGAAAATATGCTCATATCCCTATTGAATCCATAATCAGATATAGTCTAAGAATGTCATGTAAGAAAAAAAAAATAGCAATTAGTGGGACTGTATTTGGTCAATGAAGTTTTATAAAGTTGATATTTTGTCTTATTAAGATAACTTGAGAGGTAGAAATTACCCCCATCTTAGATTCAAAATGGCAGGCTTTTTCTGGCGATGCTTGTCAGTTGGTTGCAATGAGTAACATCTTCCTGAAAGAATCAATATTGACATCCTTAAGGATCCGAATTTAGGTACCTAAAGTACCATTTACATTTTTTATTATGATCTAGAGCAAGAAATTAAATTAAAAATTTAATGAATTTTTTATAGACTGATGTTATATTCTTATGTTTCTGCCTTTTAATCCTTTCAATTTGGTAACCAGCTTTTAGGGCAGGGGCCTTGCTCTTTTGTTCTTCTGTTTGTTTTATATTTGATATCCCTTATCACAAGAGTCCTGGTGTGGGACTTTAGGTTAATGCCCTGGACTGCAAGGTCAGTTTGAGC